CGCATCGCCTGCCTCCCATGCGAACGGCGGTGCACTTAGCCTGCAGCAGGAGCAGCAGCAGCAGCGCGAGCAAGCCCCGGTCACGCACCACACGGGCAACTTCCCCGCTCCCACTGCCATCCGTGTCACCCGATAATGCCACCTCCAGCACCTGGAGGTGAAATCCAAGTGCTCTCCTGCTCGAATCACCATGGGCTGGTGATCATCTCTGTTTGCGTCCCTGAGCGAGTATTGGAGGGTGGCATAATCACAGAGCTGGGCCCAGTCTCTCTCTCTCTCTATCTTTCTCTCTCTACTGGACTCTCACTGCTGACTTCCCACAAAGCGTTGTGTACGTTATCCACTTTGGCAGGCAGGATGATTAGTTGAGACCTACAGGAGGTAATTGAAGTCAATGGTATTTAAACCGACTTTTACTTCAAGCAAAAGGCGCACGCACGTACGAGACGAGGGTGTGTTCGTGTGCCCACGTGCGTTTCTGGTGCAGGGGGGACATTAACCGACCAGGCCTGAATGCGACAGGTGGACGAGATTGCCAGGTTATGGAAGACGCTGGCTGGGCGTTCTGCGTGTTTAATGACACCGAGCACCTTTACTCAATATCAGGCCACGCTCCACGCTCCACGCATCAATCGGGTGAACCAAGCAACGTCGCCTTCCTTGTCCCCGACGCAGTCTAATGGACAACTGCGGCGGCGGAGTCAATGTAACCTAGCCCGGGGCCGGACTGGCTTAACAGGGGCAGACATCTAATTCCAGCATCGTTTACCTCCCATTCTATTGTCGCCAGCTGCAGTATTTCATTGCAAAATGCTCGCGATGATTTTGTGACGCGCGAGTGAATTATTCACGCCGATCCCTGTATTATTCATGCGGCTGGGTTTGGCCGACGGGGCGATGTCGCTGGCGGAGGCGGGCGGCGGCGTCGGCCACCGTGGAGGGGACCAGGCGGGACCCCCCACAGCTGCCTGTCGCGTGATGTTATTCAGGCGGCACCCCCTCGCCGGGGCCGGCCCGAGGGCGACCGTCACGTGCTGGCTCGCCGAACAATCGGCACCAATTAGCAGGTGCCCCGGCGCCCGCCGCCGATCGCGAGCGGGGCTGCCCACGAAGCGAACAAAAGCGGCGCACGAATCCCACGCACGGTGCTCACCCTCTCCCCCCCCCGCACCCCCTGCGTGCGTGCGTGCGAGCTGACGCGTCGCCGGCGAGGGTGCCTGGCGGGCGCGTTTCCCAAGGGCGCGCGTGGGGGTGGGGGGGGGTTGCCAGCCCTGTACATGGCGGGCTCCGTGGAGGAGCAGGGCCGGGCAGGGCGAGGGTGGTGGCGCGGAGTCTGCCGCTCCCGACGCGTCCCCATTGTGGCTGCCGCACCTCCCCCTCACCGCACCCCCCCTCTGCCCCCATCGCCCCCCTCCCACCTCTCGCCGGCTCGGACAATGCCCTTGCCTTAATTGCTGCGGTGCCTGGGATTTTTCAAAAAGGTCGCATTACAAGAAAGCGCAACCCGTCGACAATGGGGGTGGCCGTAATTACTCGCGCGGAAATAAATAAACCGAGCCGCAGCGACAACGTTGTGGCGCCACTGGCTAATCGATCCCGAGCTGTTTACTTATTTAATTGCGCGCTTACGTTATTGTCTTTATTGCAGAGAAGGGTTTTTATTTTTTACGCGAGTGTGTAATCCGTACAGGTGCGCTCATACGGCGCGATAGAACAAAAGTTTTTTTAAATATTTTGAATAAAATATGAACGGTGTTGAATAATTTCCCCTTTAACGCCCGTTGTTTTTTTTTACAGTCATGAAAGTTCACGGACATTCTTGCCGCAGGCGTCACCGCGTGCACGACCAACAATCGATTCTTTCTAGGACGCTGGAGGTGGGCCCTACGGACACAGTCTTAGTGGCGCAGTGGTAACACTTTGTGCCTCACAGGTGAGAAGCGCCTGGGTTTGATTCCTAACTTGGGTGACTTTCTGCGCGTTCTCTCTCTCTTCTGCACGGGTTTCCTCCCACAGACAATATCGAGGTGTTGGCCAACATCCCAAATCCCAAGACAAGATCCTCCTGAAAAAGTAATCTTCAGACTCAGCGTGGCTTTCCTGGATTCATAGGTTGTTATACATTTTGTAATCATTCCACCATATAAATGTCTAAATGATAAGCCACTTTGTGGAGCTATCATCTGTGGCCATGGTCGCTGCTGAACAATACGCTAACACCTCGGTGGGCTTTGCCTGCTACGAAGGGAATGTTTTAGTGTTGCATGTGTCTGTGTGATTTGTTTACCTTTATTGTACTTTGCCCTCCTATCGTGTTTTTGGACTGTTTGTTGTTGTGACGTTCTTACCGCCGAGCCCCGACTGGACATCTGTGAAAAAGCGCTTTATAGCTCATCAGATTCCTCCATTATAAATACATATTCAGATGTTTCGATTTAAAGCTTTCGTGACTGCAGGGATTCATATTCTTGGTTCTTCGGTAAAGTCACGTAGAAGGGAAATAATAAAATAATAAAACATAATAACATACAATTCTCACGACGTTTCGGCCACAACGCAAGCAGCCGTCCTCAGGTGAAGAAACAGAGCTGTCAGAAAGACAGTGTCCTAACTGAACACTGCTAAGCTTGGCAGCGTATTTTAAGCTGGGTGGGAGGAGGTGAACGCCTTGACAAAGGAGTTTACATATCAACAGAGGAATTTAGCATATTGATGATAAATACATATTCTGATTCTGAATACATTTCCCACATTTTGCTCTACTGTAAAGAGTCGAATACTGCGCACTAATGTGTCCACTAATACCGACACGGGCACCACACTCATGAGAAGAAAGACTGAACAAAGTTCAATTGCTCTTTCAAAGTCAATCACAAAAGCTGCCGAATGATCAAGATGTCCCATTGGCAAGAGCTCACCGTTTAAACGTTGGGATCGCCACCTCAATGCTCGTATGAGCAGGAGACCGCCCACGGCTTTTCGACTCCGAGACCTATGCTCAGGCAAAGCGGCAGTGGCATCAGCGTGGGAGGAGAGGCTTGGTCCGGGTGCGGGGTAGCTCAACGCGACGCCCGGAGTGTGGGAATCGACTCGGGGGGGGGGGGGGGGGGGGACGACTCGACTGGTTTGGCCCCGAAAACGAAAGAAGGGAGGGAAACTCGAGATCCGTGCTCGGCAAAATAATGAAGCCTCAGGCACCGGCCACAAACGGATCTGTTCATGCCAGACGTGCGAGTCGGGGAGGAATTAAACGAAGCTTCGCAAAGTAATTATTTTTCAAGGATGACAAAAGATAAATGGTTTGTCTCTTGTATACTGACGGAATAGGAATGTACTTTAGATACATCTCTTCCAAGCAGCTGTCAAGCGATGCAAATTACTTGGCCATGAACAAGCACCGTGAATGCGGCTGTGGGAAAAGCTTCCAACCGCCAAACATTTGCGGCGTTGCTAATCATCCACCACCCACCCCCACCCACCGCGGGGATCCGCGAGACGCGACTTTGCTCGCTGCTGCCTCGTCTTTGTACTCAGATTCGTCGTTGACTTTCGGGTGCCACCAGGTGATACGGTTCCTACGCGACTTCCAGTTTAAAGCGAAATGTCGCTCATCTAATTGTTGCTAAACTTGCCCTCGGGAATCGTTTTTCGACCCACCGACGGCTGAGCTGAGACGATCACGATTGGCGCGTTCAACGCTTGCACGCGTGGTCATTTCATTAGTTCGGTGATGTCAGGTGGTAGAGCGTCTTACGACCACAATTTGGCCAGATCGTTATGTGGCCGAATACAAAAATGTATTACCAATTATAAAAGTGGCTGCGAAAACCTACGTGTTAACTCATTTGTACTGTTTATAATTTTGTTTCTGTCTCGTTTGTGTAATTTTTTTCATACCATTATCTTATACGTAACATTTGTATATCATTTGCATTCACCAAGAAAACATCGGTTCTTACTCACGCGACCCGATGCACGCCTCACGGGCCGTACGATCGGTATTGTTCGTGTTTTTGTGACTGGGTTCCATTCTAATCCAACTGAATGCATCATATGTACATTGAACTTCTTTCGCACTGTACGTAGCCAACCGTGCTAATTGGAGGTGCGGGGGAAGGACCACAAGCTAAACACAAAAAGCAGTTCTAAAAAAATGAGTTTTCAATTTTGATTTAAAAGTGCATAGCTCTGGTGGCTTTCTAATATAGGACGGAAGAGCGTTCCAGACAGCCTCAGAAGCGCATCTGAAAGCACGTGATGTGGTGACCGTCTTCATGCGATGGTTTGCGTGATGGATGGTTTATGTTCCTGATGGTTTACGCTCCTCATCTCAGAGCCAAAAGGCTTGCGACAACAATCTGCATGATGGGCTCAAACGTGAATATCACCGCCAGCACAAACACACACGCTTTTATCCAATTAGGTTCATTCAATGGCTGTGCTTTGTCTGCGCGCGCGAGTGTGTGTCTGCGCGCGTGTGTGTTTGTTGATGTGAAACAAACAGGGGCTTACACACAAGAGCCATCCGAGTCAGGTTCCTCCTGTACACAAACAAGACTGCTGGCAGCTCAGCCTCGTGCGCACGTGCGTGAGCGCGCGCGCGTCTCTCCAAGCCAAAAGTTTCAAACAAAGAGGTCTAACGGAATAAACGTGGGCCTGACAATTAGCCGCACAGACAAGTGGCGAGCTCGCACGGTTATAACCGCTTGGCCGTGGGGAAAAAACGCAGTCGCTGTGAGACGAGACGGCGCCGCGCACACCGAACACAGCCGATGGGAACGGAGGGCGCCGGTTTTCCCGACCGGGGCGCCGCAATTCTTCCATAATTAGAAGAGAAAGAAACAAACCTGCGGCCCACCGGAGGCTCCGTGGCCGAGCGATGGACGAGAATGCAATGACCAAAAGATGGCTCCGTATTTATAAATCGATTTGATTCTTCACATTTGCTTTTGCCTCGTTGGCCCAACATCGGATGTTTACTGGGTTGTTGTTACTGTTACCTTGATACCGTCTGGATTGTTGAACCGTTGCAGATTCTTGAGGCAGTCGTCTATCAGCCACTGCCAGCCGTCTGCAAAACAGGATTGTTATGGGTACACACAGCTTGCACTATAGTGGCCATGCCTTTTGCAGACAATCTCCGACTTCTAGGCGGCCCATGCGGTGGCGTTCCAGACGGAAAATATCGAGGGAAAAATTAAGCCCCCGACTCTTCGAAAAATGTACGCGTGTGTCAAAGTACATTGACGCAAACGACGGCTTGCCGAGCGAGCGGCCGCGCGTCGTCTCGAGCGTGCGACGCCTTACCGATAACCTCGTCGTTCTTGAACGGCATCTTGGCCAGCGAGAGTTTTTCCACGAGGCGGCACACTGTGAAGGGGAAACACGGCGCAGCATCACGGTGGAACTCCTCTCAGACCGACGCAGCACGAAACCGCGGCTCCTGGGTTCCGCGAAAAACTCCAATTATCCGCACCCATATTCTTCCTATTATCCACAATGGTACGCGGATGAGTAAGATAAATATTTCAGACCAAAACAGGAGGAGGATTTCTCCACAACTCTGGCTGTCGCCTGATGATGATGGTTGTAATTACCAGCAAAACATCACGTGCCTCGAATAGTAAATGTTGTAGTGGGCTTACTCTCTAACACACCGGCGTGCTAAACTGGTAAACTAACCATGATTTTTTTGCTTACTTGACAAACCTTACTAATTGGCTGTGTCGGGTGGTGGCAGGTTTAACGACAGATTTATATTTACGCGATCAAACCCAAAAAAAACCTCTGTTATGAATAAGTAAGGTAAAATGTGAGATGGTCGTCCCCCATATCGCCGCGGATAAGAGCAGTTCTACTGTACATGACATTCAGATGGCGACATGTGGATGAGAAATATCGGTGGATAAAATTTTAATAGATTTTCAGATTTTGACCTGATGGCAATTGATACCTCCAACCGAACAGTCACGATGACAACCATTCATCCCAAAACAAATGACAGGGCAATACAGATTTTTTTTTTGTAAGCATCTGTCTATTCCATGTGAAAACGAAAAGTATATTTTACACCATCCTCGAGTTTGGTGGGATGTGTCTTTCTTTTCGGGGCTTCTTAGCATCGGGAGCATGCCAACGTTTCTCAATTCAGAGAATTAAAGTGGCGATGTTTTTGGCTGAGCAACGATCGGTGTAGCGCTGGCTTCCTTGTTCGTTACATTCGCCCCAGACCGTAAACGCACACCGAGCAGACCAGAGGCCTCACTTGGAATTAAATACATATAACTAAAATCATTCAACTCTGAACCCTTTACACAGATACACAACTCGTACATTGTTGATTTACACAACACACTTGTCAAACAAGCTCGATGACGTCACCTCATTTGGCTGAAATGTAAAACCACGTTAACAGAAGTTGCCGTAAGCACGGTGCCGATGCTAAGTCAATCTCACCTTATCCCTAAATGTTATGTAATCCAAACCTCTCTATAGAAGCTCTTGGGTACATCATGGTCATTTCAAATTTGGCATCTTTTAATAACCACCCAAAGAAGAGGCCAATTGTGCTTCGAGCGTGTAATGTTTCACGGGATAGAGTTACGGACAAAACGCAAACATTCACGCGTTGCTGGAATCTTTTTTATTTTATTTCACTCAAGATTTATTTCTGGTGATCATGCGTCAATGTCTCCCGTCGTCAACGTGTCAATGTGGTGTCAAACACAGCCTCGAAACCTAGGCCTCAGAGAGGTGGCGGAAGGTGGCTCATGGGGTTAAACACCCGTTTGGAGTGTGGGTTGATACCGCGCGAGATCCGGGGATGGGAAAAACGCAGCCACCCGTAATTCCGTGAGTCGACTTCTCACGTCCAGCGAGATGCCCTCTGTTAAATTGGCAGCAGTGTTGTACCCGTGGCACCAAAGCAACTCTAAATGTGGTATTCTTGTAATTTGTCAAGTTTTTTTTTTTATCTCTGAGAGTTGAAACATTTGGTTTGATTGCCGAGCATTGAACGCCTCTGCAGCAGGGCACGTGGGACATGGCAGTTGCCCCTCTCGTGGATCAGAGGAAACGAACGAGACCTCGGAAGTACTTCTGCGATGTCAACTTTCAGGAGGCTGCTTCGTAACTGGTGCGATGCACCGTCTTGTACGAGAGGGAAATGTATTTTGTCTCGTGAATTGGTGCAAAGTCACGCAATAAAAAATGTATTGTTTAAAATGACCAAAGTCGAAACCCAAAAATCGAGGGCTCATCACAGAGACGACGGCGGACGCACGAGGGAGGCATTCATTCAGCAGTGGATTGACCATGGCCGACGATAACGACGACGATGAGTAAGGGGACGACTTTCGGATCAGTCGGGAGAGATTGGGGAAAATAAACTTCCATTAAACAGGATAAAAAAGAAGTAATGCGTGCTGTCGCTGTATAGCGACAGCACGCATCACCTGGACGGCTTCATTAGGCAGGTGCGCACCCACGTACGGGATGACAATATGAGCTGTCAGGTGAACGTGCGACTCCGCAGCGCGGGTACTGCCCCGGTATGTTCCGCCGCGGGGCATTCGCACGGATTCTAGAAAATATATAATAGTCGTAGCAGCAGCAGTGCAGGAGGGAAGATAAATAACATTCTATAATAATAAAAAAACCTACCTTTCTATTCTCAGCTTGTCAACGCGACCGTGATTGGCGCCACGCCTAGCACGGCGGGGGCATTTATCAATCTGGGGGCATCACGAAGTGGCGGATCGACATGCCGGGAAAACAATACCCCCCCCCCCTTTCCCCGATGCTCGGTGCCGTGAGCGTAGACGATGAGCTTGCGCGCGAGCCAGCACAGACGCACGCAGGCGGGGCGAGGAGCGCGATGCGTCATCGTGTGGACCGCGCAGGTGACGGGGAAGGAGTTTTAACTCGTGTAGACAATTTCCCCAACGCAGGCCCAAAGGCACCAAAAACGTCAAACGGCTGGCAACAAACAGCAACGGCAAGGTTGCTAGGTGGATGATTATATTGCGGCATATTGCGAAATGGCGGTGGATTGGAGAGGCCTACATCCAGCAGTGGACAGAACACGGCTGTGGATGATGACGGGGATTATGGAGTTATGGCTTCGGTTAGGTGCAGTAGTTCCCAACCTCTCCGGGCAGATTTCTGACAACCGCTAAACACTCTTCTGCAGAAAACCACCAACGACATCTTTTTTAAAATGTATGCGACTCCCAATCGAGCTACAGAGCGTGAACTAAAGCGCCACAGAAATCACTACGATGCGTTTTCATTGACTAATCTAGCTAGAGCTGTACAATGGGAAGCCAAGAAGACGGTGCCACATCGTCGTCACCCCCCCCCCCCAACAGTTCCGCGACACCTCGTCCCCCGAACCCAGCGGCCTCGAGCGCTCGGGGGCCCTCAACACAGAGGCCACAGGCGAGGCCTAACGCTGGCACTCACGGAGGGGGGAGGGGGCACGGCCCTTCCACCCCGTCTCGGCGTTGGCCGCCAGGAGGCACCGTGAGAGGCACCCCCGCCCCCCCTCGCCTCACCCCGACTCTTCACTCCGTCGTCCCCCTCAACGCGAAATCCTCGGCAGGTTAAGACGATGACGTCACGCTGCGTAGGCAGCGACCTGCCAGCGGCCCCTGCCTCGTCCTTCGCGCGTTCGCACGGCCTCCGTTTCACCCTGGCCGGCGCGGCAAGCTGCCACTTGCTCGACACGCACGCCCGGCGCCCGTACAGCTCCCAGCAACCCGGTGCTTAATTTTAAGAGCCGCCTTCAAAGCGCTTTAAAAGGGGAGGAAAAAAAAAGATGCGTGGTCCTGTACACAAAAACCTATACTCCTCAACGCTTATATCTTACATGCCGCATTGAAGGTGTGGCCCAAGGGGGATACAAGATTTACACTCCTCCAACGGGTTGTTTTGAAGAGCTGATGGAGATGGAGTGATGAAATCGGGCCCGTGTGCGGACGCCAGGTGGATTGCTACGTGGCAGACATCCATCCAGCAGTGGATCCAACGTGGCTGCTGATGATTTAACTCTTACATTTTTCACCAACAATGTCCCAACTATATCTCCCCCCCCCCCCCGTCACACACGTGTGTTATCTCCGGTAACTTCGCTTTTATATCCACTAAGGGTTCTTTAAGCGGCAGCCAGAAAATCCGCAACTGTTCGTCTTCTTATCGGTTCCCAAAGTCAGGCATCAGCCACCGCTCCCTGGGGAATGATCGGAATTCACGTTGTGTGATGCGATTTGCGTTGAGGCTATATTGAAATGTAATGTGACTCAGTCATGACCATCCATATATATGAATATAATTAACTTGACAATGGTCTGTTTCACTGCGTTAAAATTAAATTTTATTTTAGCCCATAAGCCTTGGGGCTTTCTGGACCAAAGTCTCCCAGCAGCGTCAAGCAGCAGCTTTCAGACAGTTCTCAACACTTTGCTAACATCGGGCAACCCCAGCTGAAATTTCCCGATGCCGTCAGAGTACTGCACCCAACAGCGGCGAAAAGAATGCACATTTTCATCAAGCTCTGAGATTTGTAAGAATTAAGCTTATACAAAATAACATGAATTGTATTGTTATCACACACTCGGCTCTGGCTACGTGCCCATTGAAGGAAGCGTAGTGCTGCAGCTGTTCTCGTGAAACCGCTTGCCTCCTCTGCCAAACAGAACTTGCTCCTACAGTCTGCCGAGGCTATACGGGAGATCTCCGTCTTTGTCTGGCCACCGCCCTCCCCTCATGTGCCATACCAGCCTTCATAGGTGCTACTCGCGAACAGCACTTGCCCTAAAAGTCTGTAACAGGCTATACGGGGGTCGTTGTGGAGTCGGCACGGCTTAGGCCCATGCATTGTGTCTGTTTCGCATTGTCGCGCGATAATCCGTCCCAAAGCTTGGACACGTGTGTGGGATGTACAACAAAACACGATAATTAAAAGTGCGTTCGGAAAATTGTAAGGAAGGTACCGGAAAGAGAGGAAGACCTAGCAGAGAATGGCTTGACAACAACGACATAAGAGATTGGTGCCAGAAAAATGTGGCACTACTTAAGCGTGTTTGCACTACAAGACAGAGAGAAAGTTGAAGCAAATGACACCTACTACGGGCTCTCTGCCCATGGATCATGATGATGATGCTTGAAAAATGCTTCAGTTTATCCCGAAGGCATCTGTTGTACACCCCCAACGATCCTGGGTCGATTCAACGTGAGAACTCTCAAATTTACTAAAACATGGAATTGGCGCAGATGGTGGTCTACTGTCAGCGCAGATCTAGAAGTTGCGTGTCTCCTGTGCAGCAGCTGCGAGTTCTGGCAGATAGAAGATGTTGGCAGCGAGGCGTCGTGGTGGTGGTGGCTGTGATGACATCTCGATCTCGTAGGTGAAGCCTTTCAGAACGTTCCCATCCACCCTGCCCCTTGGTTTTTCGGCTCGCTCGGTCTGTCATTATCGATCGGCCGAGCGATTGTTGCAGCTCCAGTCGATGCGTAACTGGCACTCGTGCGACTGAACAATCAGAACTCCGGCGGCGTCATCGTTACCGGCGGCGTCAGCGGGCAGAGCGCGCGTCACGGGTACGCAGCATCGCCGCGGCAACACAAGCGCAGGCAATTACAACTTTTGTGTTGTAACGTACGTCACCCTCTGTTGGATATTTTGTCGCTCATAAAAAATAAAATAAAAGTGACTTGCACAAAAGGCATGTCCCGCAAATCAATCGCGTTTGACGACGTGCCACAGGCGACACACGCCCGCGGACTCGCTTCACAAGCGCCACCACCGTCGTCACGAGCCAGCCGCGTAACCAAACACCACGGCTGGCTCGGGCGGAGCAAACGAACAAATGAATGAAATTATTGTCATCGTCAACAACAACATCAGCAGCAGCAGAGATGATCGATCTACTGGGGAATGAAAGTTTCCCCCCAAACTGTCATCATCGCCTCATGATCCTGCAATGTTTAAAACAACAAAATATCTCTCGCATAGGGCGACAAGCAAAAGGAAGCCGTGAATGATGACAACAATAAGAATAGGCTTTACCCTTTCTGGAAATAAAGCAGGATGTGTTAAGATGTCCAAACACCAAATAGATACCAAGTCGACCTTAACCACATGTACTTGTGGCAAAACGTGTAAACAAACATTATCTGATCATGGGCATTGGTTTTTAAACTGATTGGCCTACACCAGAGACAGCCTTCTTCATGGCCTAGTCTCACCACCAGTGTCTGTCCTGAGGTGGAGAGATCTCATTTAACCTCATCGCCCCATAAAGCAGATGGAATTTCATTCAACATTAAAGGTGAATTATTATTATTGGAACCAATCCAGCCAAACAACCACGACAAGGCTCCTCGCCCCGCACGACGCTCAAGCCGCTCGACTTGACCCCGGTCGGGCACTTGACCAGCGCCCACACAGAGGCCCTCTCGCGCCCCTGCTGCATGCACCACAAGCCCCCGTGCATTGAGCCTTGGCTTCAAACTGCCCACTCACTCGGCTCTCCGGCCCGCTTTTTTTTTCCTTTCAAATTGGAGTAAGGTCAGCTCTATACAAATGGCACGGAATTAGGGAAATAACTGATGACACGTAATGCGTGACGTCCTTCCAAAACAAACGTGACACGCAAACGGACTTGTCCTTTACACTTTGTCGTATGAAGGGCCCTTACGACACAATGAATACGTTTTTGAGTAAAAACAAGCGAAAGTTACATATTCCCAACGACGTGCATGGCCGGGGCGCGGTGCTGGCAACACCACCCCCCTCCTCCTGCGCCACCGTGCCCGCCTGTGCCTGTGCTCGCTAACAGCCCTTGGCTCAACAGGCCGTGTAGGCTACACGGGGATCTTTGTCTTTGTGTTCGCCACGGTGAGCGCTACGCTGCGCTATGAACCCGGCAATCCGAGTTCGATTCCCACTCACAGCTAACACCGGTGACGATTATCTGAACCGGTCCTGGGACTCCCCTAGGTCGACTCTGCCTCAAATGAGTACCTCGTGCAATGTGTAAACATCGCCAATGGCGAGACAAAGGCGGCCGGACGTAGTGTTGGCCACCTATCCCCTCGTGTGCCGTGCCAGCCTTCATTGGTGCTCGCTAACAGCACTTGTCCCAACAGTCTGTGGAGGCTATACAGGGGATCTTTGTGTGTGTGCGCGCATGTGTGTAGGGGGTACAGCTGGTGCATCTACCAGTCATCTCAGTCAGCCAACCCCTGGCACTTGCTGGGTCTGTCCCGAGACCTCCTGTCGGTGAGCCTTCGACACTTCACGTGGCCTCAAAGTGCACCTGGCCTGGCACAGGCACCGTGGTGACGCCACCGTCAACCAAGTGGCGAATGGCGGGTATTGATATATCGGTGTGTGGCGACATGAGTGCTCTTACCTGCGGGTCTCATGAGCTCCCCACCGAGGCCCCTGGGGACAGAGAAGTCGGTCAACGATCGGCCAGGAGCAGAGCGCACGATAGCCGCTGCATCGCTAACATCCAGGCACATCGCTAACATCCAGGCACATCGCTCGCACAAGCGATGACCAAAAACGTTCCGCTCACAATGCACGCAACCACCCCCGTTGGCAGGAGAGTAGGGCCAAAGGTGAAAAGATGTGTCAGCACCTTTGTCATGAACACATTCATAAAACAGAAAATGTTACGCGGTCAAACCTTTTAATTCGCGGATTTGCTTCCCACGAAATTCAATGATTCTCGATTTTATACCTGTACAGCAGTTCAAGTTTCTCACCTTTTTCAACCTCGACCATTCGCGATTTGGCAACATCATTGCAGGGGGGTAGTGGGGACTCGCGCAGTGGTGCATTGTGGGGCCCGTGTTCACCCGACCCATCGTGTGACGTGGACCCAATGCGCTCACGCACGGCGCTCGTGTGCACGGCGCTCGTGTGCACGGACGGTACCACGGTACCACGTGCATCTCAGCCCTCCGCCCGTGGAGGTGCGAGCCATACGGACGCCGAGGTGGCGTCTCATCAACGTTCAAGTGACCATGACGTTTTGTGTTGAGGTAAATGCTACTTCCAAATTTAAAGTATCATTTATTAAAGTGTATTATTGGATTATTGGAAATTTGTATTAAGTATATGGATGTTATTTGTGTGTACTGTACAGGATTCATGTAATGGAATATTTTAAATTTCTGTGGCATTGCCGACAAGGGCAATGCCACAGTCATCATGGACAAAACCACATACAATAACAAAATGCAGGACCTACTTAATGATGGTAGTTATACAAAAATTTAAAGAGATCCCACCAACAGCCTGGTTACGAAAACCAACAATATCATCACCAATTCGACATCTTTAATCGAACCAACCAAGCGGTTTTACTTAAAACCCTCTGCTGCTAGACCACCCAGATTGTATGGCTTACCAAAAATCCATAAAGAAGGTACACCACTCCGTCCTATCGTCTCCACCATTGACTCACCCACCTACAAATTGGCCCGATTTCTGCCTGAGACCTTACAACTATTCACTGGTAAGACCACCTCAGCTGTACTTAACTAAGCTCACTTGGTATCTTTAATTAAGAACATCTCACTATCTCTAGGTGATTTGCTCGTTAGTTTCGATGTAGTCTCTTTGTTTGCCAAAATTCCTGTGCCTGACACCATTGCAATCATTGAAGATGTGGTCCAACAAGAACTGAATGCTGATGTACCAGCCCTGGTGAGACACTGCCTCACCAACACTTACTTCACCTGGAATGGAACATTCTACAAACAAGTTAAAGGTACCCCCAATGGGCTCTCCCTTATCTCCAGTTGTAGCCAATGTTTTCATGGAAAATTTTGAGACAGAAGCCATCCAGGCATCCACTCTACGTCCGTCCTTGTGGAAGAGGTACGTAGATGACACGTTCGTCATCTGGCCACATGGCCGACCAGCTCTGAACCAATTCCTCAAACACATCAATTCCATACACCCAGCCATCAAATTCACCATGGAGGTGGAAAAGGATGGCAAGCTACCATTCTTGGATGTTTTAATTGTAAAGAGACCAGATGGCTCAATGGGACACCGTCTACAGGAAAGCCACCCACACGGATGCCTACCTAAAACCTGATTCCCACCACCATCCATCCCAGAATTCCCTCATCAAAACTCTACACCATAGAGCTCGATGTATTTCTGACTATCCTCACTTAGCCAGTGAACTGGAACATGTACACTAAGCTCTCAAGATGAATGGATATTCAGACTACACAATCCTTAAAGCTATCACCCCAACCATTGGTAAATAACCATCTGAGGACCCAATCAAAACCATCACCTTGCCATACATAGCAGGGGTCACCAAAAATATTTATTTTCTTTTTCTTTGAACAAATCTACGTGACTTTACCGAAAGACCCAAAGAATATGAACTCCTGCAGTCACGAAAGCTTTAAATCAAGATTTAATTACGTTGGAGTCGGATGTTCACCCTGGCTCAGAGAGTTTATTGAATGTGAGGTTAACTACTCGGATAGCGGTGCAACATAGCGCACAGCGAGGCCGAGACACTAACCCTCCTGAATGTTGAGGCCTTCCCCGGAATTTGTTTTATAGTCCGCTTATTTATTTTGCCATCTAACAAAATTATAAAAACTAAATTCAACCTGTCTCAGGGCCCTGTGATTGTCTCTGCGTGGCAGGCGTGAACGTATGGATACTTTCATCGCTCGTAGGGTCCTCTTGTGTCCATCCGGCAGTAACAACGGGTACAACGGGTACACCGGTTAGCTGATGGGTCGCCACGTGCGGTGAAGTGTGGGGGCTCCCACCTGTTGCTGCGTGGAACGTTTGGCCAAATTTCCTCGAGAGAGGAGGGGGGGGGGGGGCTCTCTCTGGAGCCAACAGTGGCGCCAGAAACTATTGCAGGGCTGCACCTTTGCCCGTGGACAACCGCAAACAAGGCCACAACGCACAAGGACCACAGCGGGCGGGGGCGAAGGGAAGCGACGCGCCCGCCGCACCCACGCTCAGGGATAACAACATCGCCGGTTTCGCACTCTCGGTTCGAAAGATATCTGACGGCCTTATAATGGGATCGAGCGAATGGACGGGCAGGCGGAGGGCGCTTCCTGCCCCTCACTCTCCCCCCGTGGCGCGCCTCTCCGAGGAGAAGCCGGCGCTCTGGAAGGCTCCAGTACTTGGTTGGGCGAGCCCCCCGAACAATTGTGAGCAGATGGGAGAGAGAGAGAGGGAGGGAGGGCGGGAGAGAGAAAATGCCGCAGGTGCAGATTGTCCTTTTACAAATGTGAAGTGCACCCAACCTAGGGCTGCTGCTGCTACGCCTTTGTGGGGACTTTATCAATTATGTTCCGACTCATGCCGCCCTGGGTTTACCCGCGGGCAGCCGGGGCCCCCCTTCCCCCTCTGACTCCCACGCACAAACAGGAGGAAGGGCCCTCGCCGGAGGGCGGCAAGCCCACCGAAATAAAAAAAACATCGCAAGACTCTTCAGAATTTTTTTCTCTTATAATGAATCAAACGGAGGCAATGGCATTGCTCATGTCCTTTAAAAGGGCGACAGATTGAGGCGGCGGCGGGCCGCCACGTTGCTGCAGCCGAGGAATGGATGTTGCCCACCCAAAATTGGTCGCGACGTTGGTGACACAGCAACGCGGGCGGAGGAGTCGCCGCGACGCTCACGAGACCGCCGATTGAGCGATGTCCGCCCAGCGGTGATTTCCGAAGGAAGCCCAACGGTCTCTGGGAGAGATATCCATGAACACTAAGCGCCTACCTATTAACCCTCCCAGCTTACTCGCCTGCCTCCCTTGTGCCATTGTGTTCGCCCCACGAGCATAATTGTCACATCATCATAACCAGTTGCACGTAAGTTGCATGCACTGCCAACACAGCGACCAATTCTCACTTTTGATGCGATGTACGCGTCACCGAGTGCAAGAATCAGTTTTAATTGTTCATTCGATGCGTGCCTAACAAATTATCTGCCCTTGGCACAGAAATGGACATTTCGTTCCACGTTTTGTGCAAAGTGTTTTTGGCCAGGGTGACCGACTTGGTCTCCATGAGCTATTTCCACTCCATTTGGAGAACCCTAGGATGACGCTGCTGCTGCTGCAGCAGATTACACATTCACGATTGTGGTTAGAAATCACGATTAGGGATAAGCGACACTCCGTCCAAATACGATAATGCGGTTGATAATTAATAACAATCTAATAATTCACAACCCTTTTGTCAATCCACTGCTGGATGAAAGCTTCCCCACACCACGTAGGTCGATTGTCCATACTTCCCCACACCGGTCAATGCGTATTGTCGAAGGGCGGGGGGGGGGTGCTCAGAACTGGTCCAGAAATGACCACCTGCGGCTGTGCGAGACCACTCGCCACGGAAATAAGATGAAGGCTTGGTTGAGCGAAATGAGGGAAGATCCACTGGACAGGAACGGCGAGTGACGCGGCGAAGGGGACGGTGCATGTCGAGACGATGGTGGGCAGCGTGGGCTTTGCAGGGAGCGGACACGTGGTCGCTGGGCGCAGTGAGACGGTGGAGAAGCGTTCGAGACGTTGGGTATGGATTTGGGCAGAGAAGAAGCCCATCTCGAGGGGCATCATCGAGAGAACGATGATGATTTGGGGGTCATCGGAAGGAGAGAGACATAGAGAGGGGGGGGGAACTTGACTGGACGGATGCTACGAGGGAACAGGTTGGTGATGAAGTTGTGGAAGGAAGAACGGAAGGGATGAGAACGAGAGGGAGGCCCTGGATTGGGATGCTGGAGGAGCTGCAGGGAGAGCGGGGGACTTCATGGAGACAAAGAGGAGGGCAGAAAACATAGAGGTCGCAGCCAAGGACCTGCGGTTGAGGCCTAGAACCAGAGGAACGAACTGCCGTCAGCCGTGAACAGGAATCGAACCCAGGCGATGGGAGTTCGTAGCTCAACGCGCGAAAACCGCCCGGCCAATCCACCGGCCCAAACGATCGATACATTCCCTTAACTGCGAATGCAGCAGCGGCAGTCAGCTGCGTCACGCGTACGAGCGTGTGTGTGTACGCGCGCGTGCGTGGCAAGCAGATCGCTGTAATCGACGGGAGCTCGAGCAGAGATCACTTTGGCGCACGCTAAGCCCCCTGGTGGCACGGGCGCCGTGCAACTCGGCACTGCGCCGCCACCCACGGTGGCGGAGTAGCCGGCGTGGCATTCTTTAGGCAACAACGACACGTAAGCTCGGAGGAATGCCACAAATCTCACAACAAATGTCAAAGGCATCGGTTCACTTTTTAAAAACATAAATAAAATAAATAAATGAGATTACTCTGAGGTCGCGACTTATTGCAGGCGATTGAAACCTTCATGCGAAGAAAATGAGTAGTTGGTGAAGTTCTGTTAAACTTTCAATCTTGCTGTCTTAATCTAATAATTTACACAACTGACCATTAGAATTATCATTGTAAGTTTTACAAAAAAACATATTTAATGGAATGCTCGTGAGAAAAAAACTACTGTTTTTTAGTTAAACCTCGACATTTTTAAGACTTCTAAAATAACAGCTGCTCTTGAAAATTCATCCAAACTCAGATCTCGTGAGACACTGTTGACGAAAGGCATCCCGAGTATCTAAAATGTTTGATGTTACACTGATATTGCCAACACATGAAGCTGAAAACGGAGTCCAAATCGAGTTGCCCAAAACTTGACGCAAACTGAACTTGCCACCAACTCCCAGATCGCCTTGCCGACTGACTTTCTGGAAAGGCAGGATCAGGGATGAGACTCATTCTTTTTCTTTATCAAGGTAGGAAAAAAAACCGAGCAGACAACGTGCCTCCTTCCGCAGGCAGCTGGGACAGACGGACAGCGCTCATGCATGACAAACACTCTCAACCCCCAGTTGTAAAGCGTTTCAGAGACACGGAGACAGCAAGCTGATGGCAAGCCCAGACGCGAGCAGCTGCTTTGGAAGCATTACGGTGAAGCACTTCAACGCGGCAGCCGACGAAGACTCAGCCGCTTCCACCCTGCTTGTAATTAGGGGTCTGGGGTTTGCCGTAATTATTTTTTTTTTTCTCTCCCATTGCTATGTATTTCTATGGCGATTGCATTTTCCAAGTGGCTTTGCCCTGCAGGGAGCTGTAATAGAGACAAAGGGCCTCCTTTGTGAGCCCAGAGAGGGTGGCCATATTGAGCGCGATCTTTAGCGATGTGGGCACATCATGGGAAAGCACCCCGCGGCTCCGTGGCAATTGTCACAAGTTCAACAACGGCTCCACAATGCTCGGCCAATAAAACTATTTTTGTTGAAGGCAAGTCAAGGTAAAAGGTAAAGGCGCAGCCCTGCAATCGCTCGCTCGCGCCACTGCTGGCGGTAAGGTCTCTACCGGAGGGGGCTCTCCAGAGCCCCTCGCACCACGGCTGGCCAGACATCTTGGAAGAGGTGTGGAAGAGGATGCGCAAGAGGTGGCAGTACCCCACCACCACCACCACCACCACCACGCTCGTCAGACGTTTAGGACAGAGTTGGGAGTGCCCACGCTGCGCTGCCACCACACATACAACCTACCGGTCAACTAACCGCGGTGGAACCCATTTAGATTGCGGGCAGACGGAGGCGGCGCCGTTTAATAAATCTGCACCATGTCAACCGCCGTGCCGGAAACATCGAACCGGATTGGAAGTCCAGTGGGTTGCAAACCATTACAGTGCACCAGCATTGATGTTGACCGAGCCTCAGGGGTGCTTTCCCATGTTGTTTTGGGCTGCCTCGACTGCTATATTGGCGAGATGTCAACTACCTCGCCTGGTATACAAGACGTCGTGGGTTCGATCCCGACCCTGACGCCTCCTGTATGTTTGGAGTTTGGATGTTCTCCCCGTGGTCCTGTAGATATTTCTCCGGGGCTTCTGTTTTTTCCCTCCACTTTTAGAATCAACGTGCGTTTAACAGTATTTGGCTGCTTTAAATTTCGACGCGATAAGCCACTTCGTTGAGCTGTCATTCGTGATGACCACGTCACTTCTGAAAAAAAGCTGTGTACCTTACCTGGTCAAATAAAAAATAGTTTATAGTTTAACAGCTCTTACTTAGGAGATACTCTCCTTGGCCGTGCGCCCTCGTGTGTGTGACATGAGTTTCCAGATTGGTTAGAGAGCTAATTAAGCTGATGGAGCTATGCTCAGGTGCGCCATCATGGCATCGTCGTGCGGCCACTGTCATGGGTTGCGTATTGATGCAGGACGGCCTTAAAGCAATTCTATACCAAAGTGGTCAAAATTGCACCTTTAACCAAAAGTGGAGTGTTGAACTTTAAATGTACTGAATTTTGTCTTGAATTAGCAAACGCTGTCAGGGTAAGGTTAACGTAATACATCACAAACGTGACTCCCCCTTTGCGTATTCAGGAACACAATGAGTCACGTAAATATACAGCGCCGGGATGGCGCGCAGGCTGAACTTCCTGTTCTCTGTGCTGCGAGATCTGCACGTAATCTTGGGAACACCACGGATAGCGAATCGAGTTTAAATGACGCCAAAGGGAGGGAGGGAGAGAGAGAGAAAGAGAGAGTCAATGGCCATCAACACTTCACATCGTCTCACCTGTAATACTTTGCATCATTCAGCTGCAAAATAAACAAAGGGACATCATTACCATACGTTTCATATTCCATCACACGTGCGATATCACATTAGCAAAGCGTGTAAATTATGTATTAGTATTCTTATCCTGCTTCAATTTAACACGCTGGCTTTCACAAACCAATATTATGGTTCACGATTCGTTTCTTCGTCAGATAAATACAAATCATATTGTCATGCAGGCTTACCCAAAAAAGCCTCTCCGAGTCTCAAGACTCTTTTCAGGAGGGTCCTGCGCAAAGGCAGCTAACCTGTGAGCCGACGCCAACAACTGCCAAAGCCCTGCACTCCTCTGCGCTCATCTCAGTTATTTGCACTGAAGGAGGAATCCGATGAGCTGTAAAGCTCTTCCCCCCCCCCCCCCCCCCCCCACAGATGTCCGGTAGAGGGGCAAGGGGTCACACGTCTGCATCAGCTGACCACTACCGACCTTCGCGTGGATGAGTTTGAGCCCGGTCACCATCTCGTCGCCGAGCAGCTCCTCCACACGCCTGTTCACACGAAACCAAGCGGCGCAGGTTTTAGCAAAACGCGACCGCCCAATCAACGATGAGCACCACCGAGGCGGTGAGAGCACCACCGAGGCGGTGGTGCTCTCATCTCCCCGAGCCAGCGGTGCAAGTTCCATGTTCCAATGTCGAGGGCGAGTCGATCCGTAGGACATTCACTGTTTACTTTCCCACAAAGTGGTACCAATTTTAATGAACCTCGACATATGATGGGCAGAGTAAACCCCCCCGAAACCAGCATTTGATCTTGCAAACCTCCAACTCTGTTCCACCGCAAAGCCACAATCTTCAGCCCCACGAGATGACATCTCACAAACTCAGAGCAGCCTAACCACCCCCCTAGGATTAAGGTAGTATGACAATTGTTGCTTGAATCCATCTGTGCGGAGCTACGAGTGTTATTTCCTTGCGTGTGTGGGTTTTCTCCGGAGATTCTGGTTTCCTCAGACACGAAACACAACTTTTAATGAATTGGCCAAACATGCCGATGTAGAATCCTTCTGAAACAAAAAGTTAATAAACCCGTATTGGGAACCTCCTGAATGAAATGGCAGCTATTCATTATTACTTTAAAACGTTGACGTAAAGTTTTGCTTTAACGTGGGATGTACGGGTTGTATTTAATGATAAATTCACCCTCCAGATCGATATTTTCTAGGCAAGACAATTCAAGCCTCGTGCCTCCTTATGCCCTTTGCCTGCTGTGTAAGGATGGGATCCCTCCTTGCTCTGCCTTGGCCTCTCGCAGTCAGCCTCACCTGCACGGGCGTTCTGCAGCCTGCAGTCGGGAAATTCCACATTGCTATGGTTGGCATCATTCACTCCGCAGCTCGTTCACTTGATAGCTCCCCACTAAGTCGTGCAACCCAATAAGCCGATTTCACCGGCCCCACAGCGATGCATGAACACTCAAGCATTGGCTGAAAACATCTTAATGCCCAGAGGACTGCAGAGCGTGGGCAAAATTGTTGGCGTCGGCTCACCGCGTGGCTACCTCCCTGCTTGTCTGCGGTTCCCCGTCGCACTCTCCTCCGAGAGTTGAGCGAACACTCTATGGTGCGTTACAAGTCTAATTATAATGGGGGTAAGTCGACCCTGCCTGAGAAGTGGGTAGCACCTGCTAAATAAGGCAAAACCTCTTCTTATTTTTTCAGAACTAAATACTCGTTCATGAAGTGAAGTGTCGCTCCCAAACAGCACACCTTCACACTTGCCAAAAATCGCGCTCAGAGATACAACTTCTTCCTCCGCTGCCGTGAGATATATTTCGTGCCCCGAGGCGCCGTCGACTGAGCTACGGCGTAAACACCGCACCAAAAATAGTAGAGGGACGCGGCCAGGCACTTTGTCTCACGGAATGCGAACGTTCGCGGTCGATTTCATTCATTCGTTCGCACTTGAATTTCACGCACCGCCGCCCTGCCCGCACAACCCCTCCCACCTCCTAAAGAGCTTGTTGCCCATCACTCACCAGTGGCAAACGCAAAGCCCAAAAGGTTAGAAATATCACCCCCGGGGAAACGGGTGACACAAACACACACACACCCAAATAAAATCCGCACGGGAAGGGGGGCTTGGTGGGGGGATGGGGCACGTCGTCCCGATCGACGATCCCCCCCCAATTCCCCGCCGAGGCGCTGCTCACGCAGGCCTGCTCAGGCGCGCGTTTTGGTAAGCATTACGCAAAACCCGATACGGGTGGGATTAGCGGCCCAGACTCACCGCCCCGGGGCCCCGAGAACCACAGAGCCCGCCACACCTACCACACGTCGCCTCCGAACAGCACGAGAGGCGGGGGGGGCGGGCAGCCCGCACGCACACGAGAGCGCGCGGTGTGAGTTTCGCAATGATATCTCGAGTTTGGATTTTTCACTTCTTCGCCCGCCCGCATGCCCTCCCTTCTCGTTTTTCTGGGCGATCCTGTGAAGTGGCTCGCAAGTGTGATTTACGTGTAGGTGGACAACTAGGGGCTACAAATTTCACCGATTAGCACGGGCAAGCGAGCAATTACTCCGGTCGGGAACAACAACAATAATAATAATGCCCTTTGAAGACTTGCAATGTTACGTCCAATTGTCTTCGGCAAGGGTTACTGTGTGCCCTGACACAAGATAGGATTGAACACTTGGAAGGGTTGCACAGCTGCATCTCATCGTCTCTGCTTGTGCGTTGATTTTACTGCGACCTTTACCGCCGCTGCTGCCCCCCCCCCCAAACCTCTCCCACCGCCATCGCAAACCGGTGAGCCGCAAGGTACAGCCCGCAAAGCGCCCACGAGAATAGAAACGAGAAACCGCGCACGGGTCTCCGTAGAGGAGCACGTCCCCGCTGGCGGGGGGCCGGTGGCCTCACCTGCCGTCGCGGGAGGCCAGCTCCGACAGAGCGTGCGTGACCTCGGCACACGCCAGGATGCTTCCGTAGCGCGTGTTGAGGTCTCTTCCCGTGGCCAGAGGCAAGAGCTTGGGCAGCACTGGCGGTACCCACATAAGGAAAGAGATGAGAGTGGCAACGAAGACATCAGAAGCGCCTTTCAAGTTCACACAAAGTGCCGTGTTGGTGTACAGTGGACATACGTTCATGCCGGTAAATGGGGCCGACGGTAATGCCCAATCCACAAACACGAAAGAGACATCACAGCGATACGCTACTCCCGACGCGGCTATCTGGCTTGACCACCTGAAAGTAAAATTGTTGTTGTTGCTCTGCAACTATGTCAGCCACATGGAAGAAAGGGGCATAAGCTTGCTATTAATAAGAGATTACAATTCAAAGTTTCACAAAGCAAAGGACAACCGTGGAATGTGAACGGTGTTTCCTAAAACGTCCCAATGCTGCCGATTATTATTCCACTCGGATCACGCGCGGCAACACCGTCCCCGCACGGCGAACACTCGGCAGGAAGAGCCTCCTGGAGAAATATTCTGGGGAGGCTTTCCTGGGTAAACACGCGCAATAACAATAATAATCAATTACAATTAAGTAATTGATTATTATTACTGTCCACCAACGGTTTAGGTGACCGATTGGCTCAGTGACTAATGAGTACGGCTTTACTTTTGAAGTTTAAAGCTTATTTAGTTTAAAAAGGTGAGAATTCAGGTGAGAATCAGGTGACCGGTTCAAGTCTGCAGCTCTTGTCAAGGAGTCCTGGCCGTGCCACGACTGTCGTGCTCCCAGGCGAGCGGTCTCCCGCTCTCCCGCTTTCCCGCTCGCCCACTCGCCCCTGCGGTTTATGTTCACAGCCGGCGCTGCTGTGATTTATGGCTTTCCTTTTCGGATGTGGCTCGAGAGTACGTGCCCTCACGCCTGCGCGTCATTCTTTGTCCCGTGCCACAGCTACATTGAGATAAATGCCCGCCGGTAGGTAATTATTCCGCGCATCTGCTGATGCAATGAAGAGTGCATTTGAAAAATTCCCATGCAGTGTTCTGAACACGTCAGTGCCGCCCTGTTGATTACAAAGGACAGGCTTGGCTCGGTGCTGTTCATTTGTTTGTAGTGAATCTCGTATGAATCTGCTCAGGCATTCTACATGGCTTGACTCCCATTCGACAGGAGTTTAGATTTTATTTCGTGTAACCACAGGTGAGAACCATGTACTGGAGTGATCTTGGCCACCAAAACGACAAAAGCCAAACCAATAAAAATCGGGACAAAAAACAACCATATTTTGAAATCAGGAAGGATGTAAACGACGTTGATGTAATCAGAATCAGAATCTTGATTTAGACTGGAGGAGGAATCCAACGAGCTATGGAGCATTTTTTCACAGGCGTCCAGACGAGGGGCCTGGGGTGGTCAGTAAGTTACATCAACAAACAATGCAACAGCAAGGTAGAACAAAGGTAAGCAAGTTTCTATAAATAAATATTTAAACAGTATAGAAGTACAAATTGCACAGGCACATACATTTCTGCCCATCTCTTAACATCCAATGGAAGCTTGGGGCAAGGCAGAAAAACAACAACAACAACAGTCCCAGACCACGCCAAGACAACAACAACAACAGTCCCAGACCACACCAAGACAACAACAACAACAGTCCCAGACCACACCAAAACAACAACAGTCCCAGACCACACCAAGACAACAACAACAACAACAGTCCCAGACCACACCAAGACAACAACAACAACAACAGACCCAGACCACGCCAAGACATCAACAACAACAGTCCCAGACCACACCAACACAACAACAGTCCCAGACCACACCAAGACAACAACAACAACAACAGTCCCAGACCACGCCAAGACAACAACAACAACAGTCCCAGACCACGCCCATGGACAGTAGAGTCCCTGGCGTGGCAAAGCAACGCTCCCTCGGGACACATTCACCTCCGCTCTGACATCACAGTGAGCGCCGTCCATCTGCCCGTACAAAACGCCGCGACCAGGTGACCTAAGATTACAGAGCAGCTCCTCACAGAATGCTGCTATTAATATGGTGCTCTTAACAAAGGCTCGGGCACGAAAAAAGTGACATTCCTTTCCTCATACGAGCGCGCACATTCCCGTAACCACCAAGTCTCGAACACAACGTTGCCCAAGTGTCTCCGCAAAGGGGATGGTGGTGGGGGGGGGGGTCACTGCGATGAAGTTTCCAATTTGTGCATGTTTCAAAATTATAAATAATTAAATAAATGCGCCAAACTATCAACAAAATAGACTGTATCTGTAAAGTGGAGGATGGAGTAGAGGCAAAACCTGTAGTCAAACTTGAAAACGATCATTAAGATAAAAACAAACCTTAGCAACCCCTCCACCAATTGAAGCATTTTTAAATTGCGCCCCGAGGCAACAAAAAGGGTATTTTCTCAAAACGTTGACCACAACGAAGGTCACGGGGAGATGTTTGACCTTTAAAGTGACAAGAGGAGACTTGACCGTCAAGGTGCGCTTAGAAATCTTACAAAAACAGACCATCGTAAATCACTTAAAAGCTCACACCCCCCCTCTCACCCACCCACTATCGTCTGCTGGCTCAATTCCAAAGCAGTTTGACGGGTAATTTGAGTGCGCCACAATGAGTGAAGGGGCACTACCACACACTCATTTTCACAGTTCATCACCACCACCGCCGACAAGTCAAAACAGACGACCGCCAAACTGCGACGCCGTGACCTCTCAACGAAGCCGGATTGTCGGTGCGGTCACTCCCGTATCGCTCGTAGTTTGGCGGTGATCTTTCGGTGATATTGCACTGCAACGCGTCGCGGCCGCTGCGGCCCTGTGTCCCAGTTAAACACTCTGCTACTCATCGGAGGGCGGAGATAGAAATGTGACCAGATCAGTGGATGTATTTGGAATGTGTTGCCAAATTTTGGACGAGTCTCAAATTAGGGCCTCGTCATGACACTACTATATCTGCGATCCAAAAAACTAATTTGTTTCAGGTTGATCAGAAAACCAGAAATTCCACCAACTAACTTTGACATCACTTTATTTTTCCCCCGAAAGCCATGTCACATGTCATCGGGTGACGTCACCGTCGTAAGAAAAAAATAATTTCAAGTCGTAAAGCTCAGAGTAATCGCTCACTCTCAAAGAGAGACGCCAAGAACTGGACAGGTGGAAAGGCAGCCATGCGGTGATCCGGCACCACCAACTGCCCAAGCTCTGCAGTCCTCGACATATTATGGTGTTATTAGCAAATTAATAAGTGTTTTATACGTGGGAGGAAACCGGAGCACCGAGAAAAAACCCACGCTTGCAAAGTTCCACATTTTCTGTCTGTATCGCTGTGTGGATCAGCGAGCTAGACCCTAACTAAGCAGCCCGAAAATAAGCTGTTCGCATTTGAGCTGCTCAGGTGTCTGAGATTGGACGCTGGGAATATCATGGCGAGACAGGATAAGCATTGGGACAAGTCAGGAAGAGATCGTGGCATGACTCTGTAAAAAGAAGTTGCGCTGGGTGGGATGTGTGCAGGGTGGGGGAGGGCCGACAGGCATTGGTTTGGTCTCCACAAATCTGGCAACCAAGGCCAAGTCCTGTGGCCACATAATGTAAGGGCAGATCTATGGGTCTCTGCGTGAGTCTGTGGGTCTCTGTGTGAGTCTAAGGGTTCCTATACGTTGCTGTACAACTCTATGTGAGTGTATCTTATGCTAGATGCTGGGAGACTGTCGGGGCAGATCTTGGAGGTTGCTCTGTGTCTCCTGTGCAGCAGCTGTGGGATCTGGCGGAGGGTAAAACTCATTGACAAGGTCTGGTGGTGGCACAAACGGCTTTAATCTTCGATCTTGATGGGTAAATTAAACTGTGATCGAACAGATGGGATTGTACCTGCCTGCGTACGCGCGCACGGGCGCGAGCTCACTCATTCACTCGCTCGTTCTCTGGCCCTCTCTCACAAAGGCACTCACCGGTGTTGGCCATGTACTCGGGGGCCTTGGCGGTGAGGTTGTGCAGGGTCCTCGCCGCCAGCTCGCACACCGCGCTGCGAAGCGCACACACGGGGCACGGCACGGCATCATCCACGCGCGACAGGAGCGCACCGCTAGCACGCAGCAGCGGCGACACGCCAGTAACACGTTACACGCAAGGGACACGGCACGCATCGTTCCAAGACAGGTTGCCGCTTCTGCGGCCGTCTGGAACGCTCTTCCTTCCGATATTAGGGAGCCACTGCAGCTGTGCACTTTTAAATCATTTAGATTGACAAACTCATTTCTTTAGAACGACTTTTTTGTTTTAGTTTGTTGTCCTTCCCCGCTCCTCCGATTAGCACGGTTACCTACGTACGGTACGAAAGAAGTTCAACATACAGTATATTTTTACGTCCATACATGACAAAAGCACCAGGTAACGTGCAGCGCCGACACGCCACCAGCGTGTTTCAAGCGATGTTAGTGTGGAGATCACGAGAGATGGCAATGAAATGGACAGCCCTTCACCCAGCAGTGGTCTGACCACGGCGGCTGATGATGAGTATGCATCTATTTTGAACTTCTTTCGCACCGTAGGTAGCCAACTGTGCTAATCGCAGTGTGCGGGGGGGGGGGTGGAGCGGTGGTTAGCGCACTCTGCTGGGTTTAATTCTCAGCCCTGGCTAACACCCTTGGCAAGCGATGTCTGAACCGGTCGGTCCAGACCACCCCCCCCCCCCCATAGCCTGAACAGACTGTAGTGGAAAGTGCTGTTAGCGAGCACCTATCAAGGCCGGCACGTCACATGATGGGGTGGGGGGGCAGTACCACACCCGACCGCCTTTGTCTCCCTAGTGGCGATGTCTACATATCACACCAGGTACTTATTTTAGGCTGAGTCGACCTAGGGGACGCCCAGGACCAGCTCAGATAATCGTCACTGGCGTTGGCCATGTGCGGGAATCGAACTCGGGTGGCTAGGTTCTTAGCGCAGCGCGCTAACCGCTGCACTACCACTCCCCACCAGCCCCGCCACCACTTTCACCAACCCGCACGGACCAGCGCGGTGAAGTACGGTCAAACAAGTCCCCATGACCGATACGGCATAGGGAGGTCTTCATCCAGCAGCGGATTGATAAAGGCCGCAAATGATCTTTGTTTACTTAATCCAGTCCAGACGAGCGTTTGTCAGACGAAAGACCTGTTAATAATGTAATGTGATCTCCACATTAATACAATGGAATGAGCTCACGGCCCTTATGAGCGGTATGCCAGTGATCTGTGATTCATACCTTCCAGCCAGAGCTGTAAACTACACCTACAACAAATTGATTAATTTTCTTTCCAATGTTAAGCAGACTCACGACGCCCTTGTAATAAGATGTGCGGGGAATGCAGCTGCTGCGTTGGCTTCACTCCAACGAGTCGCACAAATGTGACAAGCTCCAATGCCCCAACGTGGTAACGAGATTGTTGGGGCCGTCGTCCTCAAGGGATGCGCTGCTAATGTGCGACGCCACCACGCGATCACACGCAGCAATCAAGGGACTATGCACGGCAGTGACAATCAGCGTGAAAAAAAAGGAAACAATTAATTGATGGTAATAAAAATAATGCGTTTGTTTCTCGTGCAAAACAACGGGGTGCATTTATTAAAATGTAATTATCGCTTGTCGTTTTTAAACAGTTTCTGGGCAGGCGGCTGCGCGTGGCGGCTCCGACGCAGTCGCTCACGCACGGGGCGCTCTACCTGTCCCAGTGGTTGATCTTGAGCTCTACCAGGTGGTCGATGAGCGGACAGGTGTATTCTGGGAAGCCGGCGATGTACTCGCTGTGGGGGCGACAGGCGGACATAGAGGGGAACGTGGAGGGGAACGTGGAGAGGAACAAGGAGAGGGACGTGGAGGGGAACGTGGAGGGGAACAAGGAGAGGAACGTGGAGAGGAACGTGGAGAGGAACAAGGAGAGGGACAAGGAGAGGGACAAGGAGAGGGACGTGGAGAGGGACGTGGAGGGGAACGTGGAGGGGAACGTGGAGGGGAACGTGGAGGGGAACGTGGAGAGGGACGTGGAGCGGAACGTGGAGGGGAACGTGGAGAGGAACAAGGAGAGGAACAAGGAGAGGAACGTGGAGGGGAACGTGGAGAGGGACGTGGAGAGGAACGTGGAGGGGAACGTGGAGGGGTATGTGGAGGGGAACAAGGAGAGGAACGTGGAGGGGAACGTGGAGAGGAACGTGGAGAGGAACAAGGAGAGGAACGTGGAGAGGGACGTGGAGGGGAACGTGGAGGGGAACGTGGAGGGGAACGTGGAGAGGGACGTGGAGAGGAACAAGGAGAGGAACAAGGAGAGGAACGTGGAGGGGAACGTGGAGAGGGACGTGGAGAGGAACGTGGAGGGGAACGTGGAGGGGTATGTGGAGGGGAACAAGGAGAGGAACGTGGAGGGGAACGTGGAGAGGAACGTGGAGAGGAACGTGGAGAGGAACGTGGAGGGGAACGTGGAGGGGAACGTGGAGGGGAACGTGGAGGGGAACGTGGAGGGGAACGTGGAGAGGAACAAGGAGAGGAACGTGGACAGGAACGTGGAGGGGAACGTGGAGAGGAACGTGGAGAGGAACGTGGAGAGGAACGTGGAGGGGAACGTGGAGGGGAACGTGGAGGGGAACGTGGAGAGGAACAAGGAGAGGAACAAGGAGAGGAACGTGGACAGGAACGTGGAGGGGAACAAGGAGAGGAACAAGGAGAGGAACGTGGAGGGGAACGTGGAGGGGAACAAGGAGAGGAACAAGGAGAGGAACGTGGAGGGGAACGTGGAGGGGAATGTGGAGAGGAACAAGGAGAGGAACAAGGAGAGGAACGTGGAGAGGAACGTGGAGGGGAACAAGGAGGGGAACGTGGAGGGGAACAAGGAGAGGAACAAGGAGAGGAACGTGGAGGGGAACGTGGAGGGGAACAAGGAGGGGAACGTGGAGGGGAACAAGGAGAGGAACAAGGAGAGGAACGTGGAGGGGAACGTGGAGGGGAATGTGGAGAGGAACAAGGAGAGGAACAAGGAGAGGAACGTGGAGAGGAACGTGGAGGGGAACAAGGAGAGGAACAAGGAGAGGAACGTGGAGGGGAACGTGGAGGGGAACAAGGAGGGGAACAAGGAGGGGAACGTGGAGAGGAACATGCGTCAATCGTTGCCAACGGCGCAATGCGGCAGGGCCCGGTGCACCAATGCAACGCGCGGCAAAATACCGATAACTGCAATGATTTGTTCGTGACGCAACGGCCAATATGCCACGGCGTCTCGCACCGCATTTTGAGAGGGCACCCCCAGTGGCAGCTGTCCCTGTGGATATCATTCTGCCAGTGGGGGGCAATGATTGTTGTGCATAATCCCAGTCGAGTAATTTTACGGGTAATTTTCTAATTCGGCAAATTTGGACGCAATGGGGGGGGGGGGGGGGGGGATTCACCCCCTGTTGCAGAGGTTCACGGTTCGACTCCAGCAGCCGCCCCTGATTATTTTTATTACCGCGGGTGTGGTAACCACCGGTGTGGTAACCGTGGTAATACTGCAGTGCGCGCTGCACAGTGGACGTTAAAGATCCCGTGACGTCGCCACGGTGCAAATTTACTCCGTTTGGATTCTATACATTAATCATGCCCCCCCCCCCCACCGCTGGCAGACTGATGCCCCAGGTCGCTCTGGGAAATGAGACGGATCCTAGTCCCTTGTGCTCTCACTCATCGTTACACGAAATAAAAACTCAACTCAAGTCGAATGGGAGTCAAGCCATGCAGAATGCCTGGGGAGATTCATACGAGATTCAATGTAAACATATTAATAGCACTAGGCCAAGCCTTTCCTTTGTCATCAAGAGGGCGCTACCTGTGCATTCAAAACACTGGCCACTGCATGGGAAATTTTTTAAATACATTGTTCATTGCGTCAGCAAACGCACGGAACAATTAACTACCGGCGGGCATTTATGTCAATTTATCTGTGCCACGAGACAAAAAAAGACTGACGCGTAGGCGCGAGGGCACGTACTCGAACCACATCCGAACATGCAAAGCGTAAATCACGGCGGCGCCGGCTGTGGACATAAACCGCAGGGGCGAGCGAGCGAGTGAGCGGGAGAGCGGGAGAGCGCTCGCCTGTGAGCGTGGCAGCCAGGACTGCGTGTCAAGAGCTGCACACTCAAACTGTCACCTGATTTTCAGGAAGCTGTTGCTCCGATTCCCGAGGGTAAAGTAGTCGGCTGCCGTGACAATGTCAATTCCGTGCGGGAAGGTGCCCTGAGTGACATGCGGAGGCACATGGTTTGATTCGCCGTCAAATCATTCCTTAAAATGCATTCATTCAACTCGCATCATAACCGCGCGCGCTCAGCGCACCAACGACGTCACCGCACTGACGCAGTCTCCCCGACGGGAGCGCCGTCACGCCACGTCCAACGCCGACCCTCTACTCCGCCGGTGACGTCGCCGCAGCGCCTTCACTAAAAGAAACCTCTGAATGCCAGTGGAAGAGTTCTTTTTCTCTCGAGCGAGACTTTCACGCTCACGCGGGCTAGCAAGCCCGGGTCGAGAGACAATGGACTCGTAGAGAAACAATGCACGCGGTGTTTTGTATATTTTCATTTTTTTCGGTCGGTCACATTTCCCTTTAATCGCCACTGCAGACTCCACGGGCCAAACACCGCGCCGCGCGCCAAATCCCTCCCTGGCAAAAACGGAGAGAGCGCTCGAGCGGAGCCCTTACCTGTCGCCCCACATTCTCCTGGAAGGCGGCCTGAAAACGACAATCACCACAAAGGCATTACTCCCGCGGGACAATGGTGGGAACTCTGCGCCGCCGTGAACCGGCAACGAGGGCCCCTCCACCCCCCGCCTCCAGCGACGCGTTCCCCAGAATCAGCGCGCATTCCACCAAACGACGTTGTGCAGATTCGCCGGCTTGGGCTGTAAGTTGGGGAAAAAAACACGGACAGATGCACGGCAGGAAAACTGCGCGTCCACGCGTTGAAAGACGTGATCCAAAGCGTCAGTGAGCGAGCCGGGCTTAGGCCGGGCCACGTGACGGCGAGGAGGGACGATGGCCGACGGTCCAAGAACGACGACGGAGCGGCGGCGGAGGAATGGGCCGCGTCCGACGGGACGTCAATCGAAGAGACTGAGCGATGAAATCGACACGTATGAGCGTGCTGGTTGGACCGTGGCATGGGGGGAGGCCTTCATTCAACAGTGGATTGACCAAGGCCGATGACGATCGCCTTTGTAATTGTATTTTTTATTTATTTAATTGGATATTTGTTGTGCTTTGCTGTACTCGCAGCACAAATAAAGCTGCGTTTGGTGCGCGTGTCCGGCGCCGCCGCCAGCACCACCACGGCCGCCGTCGCGAGCCACGCGGGCGGGAAACACTCACGGAGGCGGCACGCCTGCAGTTCACCTCGCGGTCGTAGACGGCGGTGATCACGAGCGCGCTGGAGGGAACGCAGGGGGTAGTGGGGGGGTAGGGGGTAGGGGGTAGTGGGGGGGTAGGGGGTAGTGGGGGGGGGGGCGTTAGTGCTGGACGAGACTGGAAATTCACATGAGCCGCGCACAACGAAGCTGTCGCAAAGTAACGACGGCCGTAATTAATTATAACAATCTCAACTTGTAACGCACCGCGGCCGCTGCTACGTGGTGTTGGCACCTCGCTCCCAAAGAGCGAGAGGACGACTCAGAGGTGCGAGGAGGAGGAACCACAGACACGAGCAGGAAGGCAGCAGCAGTCAGGCGGTGAACCGCCACTCAAATTCCCACCCTTAGCTCTGCGGTCCTCTACATATGAAGGTGTTATCGACCGGAGAAAAACCCACACGTGCGAAAGCGCAACAGTCTATCCCACGCAGAGGGAAGAGATGGACAAACAACATGAAACCCAATAAGAATCTCCGCGCTTCTTCAGGCACTACGCGTCGGAGAGCGCCACGTCGTCCGAGAGAGAGAGAGGAGAGAGCGTGGGAGTGCGGTGGGGGAGGAGATGATGGACAGGGCAAATCTCCGCGATTTTATATTTTTTTCTGGAACCTGTGACAACATTATATATGGACACCTACGATAATACATAGACACACTCACTCTTGCCGATTGTCCCCAGGCTATCCATACTTACGAGGATTTTGCGAGCCGAAATGCCAGGGTATTTTGATTGGTTTGCAACGTGTGGGAAAAAGTTATTTCACACACTCCAAATGCACGTAAAAAAAAAAGTGGTTGCCACGATAGTAAGTGTTTTGCTCTTTGGTTTTCATGGAGAGGCTCCTGTGAATTGAACGCCAAAGAGACGGATGGGCGAGTTTAATCTGGTGCACGAGTTTAAGTTAATCGTTTGATATTGTAATTCCATTGGCCAGTGATTGCATTAATAAAGGCCTTTTCATCGGCAGATCTGGAATACGCGTCATATGACCAAATGGAGACAAACACAGACTCAAAAGTACCGTGCGTGATTTTTGTCCAAAGTTCCGGGTGCCTCTGAGTCATATCGAAACATTTTAAGAGATATATGTGCGACGATATTTCACAAAAATAGATTAAACAATTCACAATGGCCTTAAATCATTTCACACATCGGGGTTTCGGCACAACGCTAACATGTATTTAACTTCTCCTTGAAGTCGTGTTCACTGCATCCTAAATGCATTAATTCAACAAAATATATATTACGTGTACAATTTCCTCCCGCAGACAAACACATATTGATGCATCCTATCGATGTCCCAAATAACTTAAATTCAAGGCAATGCCTCGTTATTCTCTCCGACGCGCTTGCGGGTCGCACCGCGTGTCGTGCGGCACGATGTGCGACCCTCCGCTCCACCTGAAAAAGAGCTTCACAGCTCTTCGGATTCCTCAAGTGTCAATAAATATTCTGATTCCGCTCGGTTCCGAGCCCGACCGCAAGAGCCGACGCAGCGGTGGCGGCAGAACCAAACTGCGGACCCCGCCCGGGAACTTGCGATCTCGTTCGCCCGGCGGCAAGGGAGATCGGGGGTCGGCGATCCTCGGGGCCCACCTGGCGATGCGTTGGACGAACGGCGCCAGCTCGCCGGGGTCGTAGGCCCGGGCGAAGGCCCAGCACACGTAGCAGGCCGAATCGCGCACGTGCGAGCCCTTGCTGCAGGCGCCGCGCAGCTCGTCGAACGTGAGCGCGCGCACGATCGCCGGCACCACTGCGGGAAAAAAAGCGGCGCCGCGCGGGGTGAGAGGTGCGCGGAGGCCCACGGGAACCTGGCGGCGAGGCCAGGGGTACTCGCTCATCACAAGGTCAGGGTCAAGATGTCACCACCGCCATTGACGTTGATGCTCGACCCCCCACCCCCCTGCGTAGTTGCGGTGAAGTCGACACCCGAGCTGTATGTACGTATGTTGAACTTCATTCCCGCCGTGCTGAGTCCAATCTTACAGTCTTACCACCACCACCACCACCACCACCCCGTTTTAGGTCTTCTCTTCCACTTGGTCGTTGACCTCTAGGTGCCACTCCAATGTCTCTGTGACCTGCCCTCCTCTGTCCTGCACACGCAGTCCACCCATTGTCCCACAGCTGGGACCCGAGCTAGGTGGCCTAGGGCAGCTCTTGAAACTTCACAATGCAATGTTACATTCCTTAACAAAATGTGGGGATTAATGAGGCACCTGAACAAGACCGTGTCTCAAGGCCCTGTAAAAGGTGGGGGGGAGGGGCAGTGATGCTCAGGTGAGAGGCGGGCAGGGACGGTCAGGGATTAGGGGAGGGAGTTTAAGTTTAGGAATTGGGGCAGTGAAAGAGGCACGTTGCCCTTTTGTGTTAGACTCTGCGTGCACGAGTTTAAATTCTCTGGTAATTACAAACAACAATCCACCCCCTAACCCCAACTGCACTGACATCATCGAGCAAGTATTATACACACATTGGTCGACATGTTCCAATTTTAGACAAACGAACCTTGTAACAGGAACAAAAATCATGCATACGCGTGGGTCTTGTAGCGCTTTCCAACATGCGTTCGTCTGCCGAAGTGTTCCACCCCTTTTTTAATTAATGCGCACTTCCTGCTACGCCATGTGGCTCGTAAACGTGGACATCGACCAAGAGCACGGAATGCCGAATAAACGGAGCCCGAGGGAGCACGGAGCGATGCACGCAAGGAATTACACCCAGAGACGAAAGCACCAGGCTCTAATTAATTTGAATCAGCACGCCCTATGTCGATCACCCATATAGCCTACGAAAGGGGTGGGTGGATAACACCACGCTCGGCCGTCTTTGTCTCCCCAGTGCTGATGTGTACACACCGCACCGGGCACACACATTTTTAAGGCCGAGCTAACCTAGGGGAGGCCCAGGACTGGTTCAGATATTTGTCGGCAAACCCGGCTAGCAGGAATCAAATTCCGGTCGCGGGAATCAAAATCCGTAGTGCGGTGTGCCCACTGCTATGCCGCTGCTCCCCACCGACGCCAGCACACACACGCACACACACGCACACACACAGGGACACACACGGACACACACGGACACACACACGGACACACACGGACACACACACACACGGACACACACATGCCCGCGAGCCGAGGCGTCGCGGACAAGGGAACCTCCCGGCGACCTTTGGGCATCGCTGCGCTCGGTAGGAGAGGCTCGGGTCATGGCCAACAGCCGACGGGCGAGCTGCAGCTGTCAGTCAGGGATGACGCAGCTGAAAAGTGACGCCCGCTCGCTGGACGGACACTTGACAGTTCTGCCAACGTCTCCAAATTTTTTAAATGTGTTCCAGCGCCTGGCCCAAAATCATCTCAATAGCTTACAGTATGGAAAGGTTAAACTGTTATGATACACAGCACTATGTGCGTGTGCTGCCAGTCAAATATATATTAGAGCTGATTAACCAAAGGTTAGACCACAGTAATCATTGCAGAGTAAAATATACATGAGCCTGCGATGTTCTTTTGCGGGTTAAAATAATAATAAAAAGTTGCGGGCATTATGTTTAGTTTAAGATTCTGTGTACTATGAATAGACTGCCCTCTGTCATAGGAATGTGGACTACCCACCACAAGAGATGAGCACCGTCTCAATGCTAATTTGAGCAACAAAAAAAAAAATCACTTCTTGGCTGTTATGCAGAACATCTGACCATCACTGACAATTCGCAACAACAGTTACGATTTGCCACTGTGGGAGTGATATTACCTTGGTATTTGTGACAGGCTTTGTGCCCTTGTGCCAAGCTAGGTATCCTTTCATACCACATCGTATAGCTCCATATAGTCTTTGACAAGCGATGTTAGAGGACCGAGTCAACCTAGGGGATGCCCAGGATAGATTCAGGTACCACTTGCCCCTGGTGTTGCTCGCAGCCAGGAGTTGAACTCAGATCGTCGGGATGAAGGCGCAGTGCCCGGACCACCGCACTGCCGCTCACCACCCACAGGGAAACACTAAAAAGCGAAAATATTCGCCGTATAGCCGACACAGACTGTTGGGGCAAGTGCCAAGAGTGGGCAGCTGCAAATGGCAGAACAGCATACGAGGTGTGGGTGTGGCTAGCACCACGCCCGGCTGGCGTTCACACAGTGCACCAGGAACTCATTTACGGCTGAGTCGATCTAGGCGAAGACCAGGACCAGTTCAGAAAAATGTCTATAATGTTGGCCATGAGCAGGAATCGAACTCGGGCCGCCAGGTTCGTGGCACAGCACGCTGACTGCTACGCTAATGCTCCCCTACGTACAACAAAAACAACAACCATTCGCAAATAAGTGGCGGTGACGTGACCACGGCGCTTGTGCCAGCCTATGTCCGCACACAGACACGTAAAAACACACACGTGTGCCGAAAATACAGGCTGCTTCAAAAAAATGTTAACACCTCCGAGAATCTGTAACAAGACCACAAGAAATGTGCCTCCGGGCTCTGGAGACCACCTGGAGAAGATTCCAGGCGGCGTTGACAATGACGGCGAACGAGTGGAGACTCTTTGATGCCTTTTTGAAGCTATTAACATACATTTGTTATCATCTTATGGTGTATTCTCCGTTCTTTTTCCATGAAAAACAATAGTCCCATATAAGTGTTACTATTTTTTTGAAGCACCCTGGATATACGAAGGCGGCCGAGTTTGATTCCCTCCTGTCACGGAGCGGGGGGTGGGGCACTGAGCCCCAAGTGACTCGGTGGCTGAGAGCTGCGAGCCGAGCTCCAACCACCAACGGACCGAGACTCGGATAGAAACACGTCAACCTGGGACGCTGCACCGTCTCCGCCACACAGTCGCCTCTCGCTCTCGAGCAGAGGAGGAGGAACCACAGACACAAGCGGGAAGGTGGTGGCAGCAGCAGCCAGGCAGTGAGCCGACAGCAAATTCTCGCCACACCCAAGCTCTGCGGTCCTCTACAGATGAAGGTGGTATCGGCCAATTAATGAGCGTTCACATTTGGGAGGAAAATCGGAGCAGCTGAGGAAAACCCACGGACGCGAGGGGGCAACACTCTATCCCGTACATACAGATAGATGCAATTTGCCGTAGCGCCTTCTCGACGCCCGCGGGAAGGGAGTTTCACAAGATTTGTGCGGCGATCCCCTAACCCCTCACCGGCTCCACAGTGCTGGTTTATAGGTGTGTTCCACCACCGCCGGATAATTGGGGGTGGAGGGGAAGTAAAGTACTCGTGGTGAACCAGCCTGTGGCACCAATGGGAGGGGGCAACCAGTGCCACGTGTTGTGGCACGGTGCCAGTGACAGGGCTGCTGAGAGGCGCCACCTCTTGATGATGAGCGACGGGCTAATAGCCGGCCCCTGCAGCACGACGCTTCAGTTGGTACGGAATGTCGCCCCTCTGTCATTTACGTTTTCCTAAAGGCTTTACGTGGGCGTGCGTGCGTCCGTGCAAGCTACAGAGTTGTAAAATGTGAATGCAACTCCTGCGAATCCGAATTCACTGGGATTGGGCCCAGCGTGGCTCAGCGAGCACGGGAGGATGAGACGCCGCTCCCTAGAATAGGACCTTCGTCTGCAATTAGAGCTCAATCTCGCACGCTCCTAATTGCCTCTGTTAAAAAAAAAACAAATGAGGTCGTCACATGAAGCACTTTCACAACAATTGCCAGAGAACACGGATTCAAATAATCAACGCCCTGCACGTCACGAGAGACATCAACTGCCGCCATTCGTCACAGAGTGGCGTGATGACACCGCAGACCTTGTGCCAGGCTCGGCGCACGTTGAGGCCACGTGAAGAGCCATAGGCTAACTCTTTGGTTCTTTCGGTAAAGTCACGTAGAAAGAGAAAATAAGAAATTAAATAATAGCATACGACGTTTCGATTGCAACACAAGCAATCATCATCAGGTACAAATGAAAAAGAAAACAAACCTAGTAAACTGAGAAATATAATGCAATACAACACAGATATGATAATTGGTTCTTTACCCTTCTATCTGGCAACAAAACTGACACCTTTTTTGTTGCCAGATAGAAGGGTAAAGAACCAATTATCATATTTTTACTGGCAAATGAGGTCCCCATAGTGTACAACACAGATAGTCGGCTAACATAACAGTCAACACCCTACCTGGTTGATTACGTTCTTCCAAATATTGCTAAATTTAAGAGAGAGATGAAACACAGAACAGGAGACACATAGACAGACACGTAAGCAGAGAGAGATAACACAGAGACACACCGAGAAAGACACACACATAGGCACACAGAGAAACAAAGCCATAAGCTTGCTGGCCAGAGGTCACGGGACAGACCCAGGTGCTATTGGTTGACGGACTGAGATGACCGGCAGATGCACTGCCTGTGCTCCTCACTGTGCCAACTCGCTGCGTTTTAGCTTCCCGACACTCTACTCGCTGTTGTGAGCATCGCTCCTCTGCCCTTCATTGTAGTTGGTGGGCAATTTACTCCAACTACCCAGTCGCCAATATTGACACAGCTGGTATCGGTCATCGGAAAGTCCACTCAGCACCACATCCTCTTGTACGACATCGTTCCATCTCTTCTCTAGCCCGTGCCGCGCCCGTTTAGCTGCCTCTGTCCGGCCAAACAGAAGCTGTTTGGACATGCAGTAGCTGGGCATGCGGGTTATATGAACCAGCCAACGCAGCCTCGACTGCCAGAGGAGTTAATTTATGGGACTGTGTCACGAGAGTTATACACGTACACACACAGACAAGCTTCAT